ACGTCGCCAAAATCAACGAGATAGCCGGGCACGCCCAGAGGATCCGGGGGGAGGTTTGTTCCTTTTGCTCACTGTCTAGCTTCAGGGCCATATCAGCGGAGTGAAAAGCCCCTGACTGATATATCCCCATAGATCAATGCGCTGCTTAGCCACAAACAGAAGCAAGCCAACGCATGGGAAGCAAGGTTTGCCCGCGAAGGATCAGAACATACCCAACGCCAGAGCAGCGTATGTGAGCACCGATACAAACCCATGGAATGGTCCCTCTCTTTCTAGTTTCGAGTGCCAATACTGACAGGAGAGTCTACGCGTTGTAGATCATACTGGTTTTTACCATCGTCACCGTCTTCTTTGTAAGTTGTCCCTCTATCGTTACGGCGGCCACAGCCCACGACCATGGCACCAGAGCGCTTACAAGGCCTTCAAGCTTCCGCTCTCTTTTATGTCTAGCGTTTTTGCCATCCAGATCGACGCGTTCCCACATGACTCGACCAGTGGCGAGGTAAACTGGCCCCTGGGACTGGGCTGGCTCTCCTCTGTGAGTTCACCTAGGTACCTATTTTACCGTTACGGGCTACATAGGTACCTATGCATTCAAGCGCAACATAATCCACTTCTACTTAATCCAGATATCAAGAGTGTATCTAACCTTTCACCGAAAGTCGGAATCTCAGCGATAGTTATCCTGGTACTGGTGTTCCTCGGCCTGTGCATCACGCGACAATGGGGTTCCGTCTTTCGTGTCCGCGCCGCCACCTCGATGATATTCTCCAAGGTGAATCCGCAAGAGAACTGCGACTCAGACACAGACCCCGATTCCGAATCGGACGACCCCATCAGCACCTCGGGGACCGGCTCCCGCAAGAAAGCCCACAAAGCACCGCCCACCGGCTACGCCCCCCTCTTCAACAAATGGCCCATCATCTCCCGCCTCCCGCTCATCAGACAGTTATGGAAACAGAGCCTCTACCAGTACTCGCTACCAAAACGCCTGCCATTGCCTCCCAAGCCCTCCGAGCAGATCAAGCCGAGCTACCCAATCGACCAGTTCCAGCCCCGGAGCGTGGTGGACTACCCGCTGCGGCGGGCGCGTTTGCTCGCAGCGACGCTCATGAAGGAAGGAATCGCGTGGATGAGGATGAAACTAGCATCCTTCCGGCGTGGCCAGGAGGAGGACAAGCGATCGGATTGGGGCCCTCACGCCGGAGACGCGGCCGCGGTCCGCCGCACCTTCACCTTCCCAGACGGGACACAGCTTTCCTCGCGGTTTGGAAAGCCCCTGGCGCCGCCGCACCCGCTGCAGAAGCCCAAGGGCCAGCACGGCATCCACTCCCCCGTCCCGGGTTTGGTTGTCCCTGGCAATGGCGGGTTGCGGGGGGAGGTAGGGAGAGGGGATCAGCGTGAGGGTTGGGACGGGATGGGCGGCCGGTTCTTCTCGTCTGGATGGCCGTTCTGGCGGAGAAGGAGGTCGGGGGAGGCCCATGAAAATGCGGACTCCAGCTCGGTATAATGACCAGCCGAGACGCCTTGGACTATCTAAAGAAGGGAGTCACCACTTATACCATATGTTATCGAAGATGTATTAGATGTTCTCTCGCGACTCAGGTACTACCTAGATAATTGGAATTACGTGCCTAGTGTTGCGAGAGGTGTATCTCATTGATATACCACTGTTGCCCTTTCCCCCATCGATCTAATGCCACGCATTGCATTTAGACCAATCCATCAGAGTCCGCACCGCCCTAAGGGGATCGATTGCCCATCCCATACGGCAGAGGTTGGAGCGTGAACTCTATGCCAACCAACTTCTTCGCAATATCGCTTCTCATATCATCCAGCAGCGTTTGAGTTGGCGTAACAAACGTAATACTGGTAAGGCAGAGGCGACGGTGGACAAGGTTGCTGACGACGAAGGGTTCCGAGGGCCAGTTGTCCCGTGCGTCGCGTCGGGTCATGCCGCCCTCAGAGGATGCCGACTACCTATGGTGCCGTCGTGCCGGCGGACGGCGGCGGCCGAGTCGCCAAAGGTAGAAAACCGAGCACCATCACCATCATCAAGAACGACTTGCTCTTGGTGGTTTACGATGACCGTTTCACCACCGGGCAAAGTATACTTGGTTCGAATTTCGGCTATGTCGTTCGCGAGGAGGCCACGGTTGATTTGTGTTGCGGCGCTCCTCCTTGTACACTTTCTTCCCCGATGCGGCCTGTTGAAACTCGAGCCTGTTGAGTTTCAGGAAGTGCTGGGCTGAGCGAGAAGGGTCCTAACAGTAGTTAGTCCCTGAGCGGCAAACAACAAAAAGCGCGAGGCCCAAAACAGCAAGGCCAAACGCACGTTGGACCAGACGGCAGAATCAGTCAAACGGGTTTGGCGGACTAAAATCAAGCCCCAGTCGAGAGCATGGCGGTGGTCGCCTGGGGAAGGTTCGGCATAGCCCCGAAGTGAGAAAGACGTCTCCCAAAATGCAATCCCGCTCTTGGGCAACGCGGAGAATTGGGTGGTGGGTAGATATGTGGCCGGCATCGGTCGCAGGTGTGAGCAGAGATTCGATTTGCAGCAGCACTTCCTCACGGATATGCGATACCGGTGAGAGAACACCAACAGCGGGGGACACGAGAGAGTCTCTTTTGCCTAAGGTACGTAAATGGTCAGCAAGGACGGCACGAACAAAGGGGGAAGGGGAATAACATGGGATTTTCCGTACGGGAGAAGACGTGATGGCATGTCACGCCGAGCGTCTCCTTGACGTCATTCGAAAGCTCGAGCTTCACCTAAAATCTGAGCGTTCCGAAATCAGAGCCGGGGAGTGCCAGGCCGACGCTCGAGCCAAGCTGTGGCCGGTGAGAAAACACGTCGCGAATAAGGGCAGCGGCGGTTTGGCAGTCGGCGGCGTCGGGTTCAAATTGTTCCATCTGCTGGCTCGAGACCATGGCGCGGCGTAACATCCCCTTGGATGATCTCAAGGCCGAAGTCGACTATCTCGAGACGGTTCATGATATCGCAAGCATCCAGTATAATTTGCCTAGGCCGGTCAGCCGGTCGTCGCTCGTCGGGACGAAGCACGATGACCAGGACTGGTTGTGGCTGGAGGGTGTAGGTAGCGACGCCGAACACAGAAACTAACGCCCAGTCGTCTTTGGCCTCATTGAGGAGGTCACGCACCTGCTCGCGGACGCGGCCGTGCAGCTCAATTTGGTTCGGCTCCCGGGCGGGGGACACGTGGAGCGCGCGGTCGGCCGGCCACAAGTACGACTGGCGCGGCGGCGGGGCGGGGGGCAATCCGCGATGAGTACGCGGAGTATACATGGCGAGGAAGGCATCGCCATTGCCGCCCACCTCAATGTCGCCTACGAGAGAATTGTCCATCGCGCGTTGATGGGAGTTCTCGGATTCGATGAAGTTGGTGGTTGTGTGCTGGATTGGTCGATGAACTGAGACAAGTGGGAGATTCCAAAGCTTACCTTTGAATTCAGTTCATTTGCTTGTAAATCTTGTTAAGGGCTATTAGCTCTGGATATCCTTTGGCTTCTAGTTTTACACAAGGAAATGCATGATCTATAGCAGGCAATACATTAGACCAAACCTGATGTCCATCCGATGGTACTTCTGAAGGAGCAACCCGAACCATCAACAACGGTCCCTGGACAGAAGAGAACGATCGTGGTCGCTGGGCGGACTTCCCATCACTGTCAAAGGGTTCTCTGAGATACTTACATACTTGAAAAGACAGCCAATATGCTCCTACCATATATATGAACACCGGAACCACCAGCTTTTAACTCAATCAGGAAGGTGATGATAATTACCTACCTGGGTACCTATTTACTTAGGTAGTATGAACAATGGTGACTGGAGCGGCCATAAAGCACACCAAAAACGATGGCACAGCAACCCATTGCCTTTTCCAACCGAGGAGCGGATAAATTATTGCTACCATACGGGGCCCTGGAGGCCTGGACTTAAACGCTCCAGTCCGCATTCACGTCAATCCCGTTCGTTGATACAATGATACCTCGTTCATCCATCCTCCGTTATTGGTGCGCTTGGCCTGCGTGCAGGTTCCGGAGAGGCTGCAAAGTCTCTATTTGGTGGGATATCTATCCTTGAAATTATAATTATAAAATACCATGGTTCATTTTGCTGCGGGCGAGCGAGAGCTTGACCATGCTGTGTTATTTAAATAATTATCTCAGCTTCCTCGGTGCGTTTCATCAACAACAAACCCAGTAGAGGACTAAACCGCACTCCTGATATTCCACCACTAGTCCGATACCACCATCCAGAAATCATGTTAACCCACCTTTCCGTATTGCTGGGCGCCGTCTCGGCCGTCTCATCACGATCGGTCCCGGAGAAGCGATTGGACAATGGCGTCGGACGCACGCCAGCACTTGGCTGGAACTCCTGGGTATGATATGATCCGCCGCCCTAAACCCTGAAAAAACACATCACAAAAACCACAGCCAGCCTAACATAACCCCACTCCCCCCCAGAACCAAGGCGGATGCAACGCCGCCACGGCCGCCGTGGTCCTCAACACGGCGCAAGCCTTCATCGACCTGGGCCTCAAGGAGCTCGGCTACACGTACGTCAACATCGACGACTGCTGGTCGCTCAAGCAGCGCAACAGCAGCGGCCACCTGGTGGCCGACCCGGCCAAGTTCCCGCAGGGCATCGACGGGCTCGCCCGCGCCGTGCACGCCAAGGGCCTCAAGCTCGGCCTGTACGGCGACGCCGGCACCCTGACCTGCGCCCTGTACCCGGGCTCGTACGGGTCCGAGCAGAAGGATGCCGACACCATCGCCGCCTGGGGCGTGGATTACTGGAAGTTTGACAACTGCCTGACCGAGCAGGTGTATACCAACAAGGGCATCAAGAGTCCCGAGTACTACCCCGTCATGCGCGATGCGCTGCTGAAGACGGGCAAGCCGATCCTGTTTTCGATTTGCCAGTGGGGGAGGGACGAGGTTTGGACTTGGGGCGGCAAGGTTGGGAATTCGTGGCGCATGTCGGAGGATATCACGAATGATTGGGCGTCGGTGTCGAGTATCGCGGCCAGGGCGGCTACGATGCATGAGTATGCCGCGCCGGGCGAGTTTAACGACTTGGATATGATGGTATGTTCCATGTACTGGCTTGTGGCTCGGATCTGGACGTTTTGATTCGATACTAATTAATACCAACACCAACAGGAACTCGGCAACGGAGTCCTCACCGAGGCCGAGGAGCGAGCCCATTTTGGTCTGTGGGCCATCATGAAGTCACCCATCATCATGGGTACAGACATGACCAAGCTGAAGGAATCGACGCTGAAGGTTATCAAGAACAAGGTAAGATAGATTGCCGGTTGCCGGACCCCTGCCGTCGAGCAGAAACTGACAGACCCAGGGCATACTGGCCATTAACCAAGACCCCCTGGGCAAGGCAGCCACCACCTTCACACCCAAGGACCAGGCCGGGCCGGTCAGCGGCAAGCTGTACAAGTACTTTGCGGGGCCGCTCTCGGACGGCGTGGTTGTTGGTCTGGTTGCCGCTGACGGGGTGGCGACGCTGTCGGTCAACTTTACTGACGTGCCGGGTCTGGGCGAGGGCAGCTTCGAGTGGACCGAGCTGTACAGCGGAAAGACGGGGACGGGGACATCGGTGTCGCAGCGGCTGGGCGCCCATGACATGGCCGTGTTTAAGGTGGTGACCAAGAAGTAGTGGTTGGGATAATGGAGAGCGATACTACCTAGGCTCGTCGTTAATTTCAAATAGCATCTCCAGTCTTCGCCAGTATCCGGATTATCAATATTGATACCTAAGGTAGGTAATATGCAGCCAACTGATACATCCCTAGCATTCACAGTTTTAAACCCTCCCCTACCAACTCTCACCCCTATCTTGTACGGAGGAGAGATACTACCATAGACGTGTTCTTGATTTCAAATTAGTACCTCTTCACCACGTGTAATAATACTCAACTAACACACTTCTCCTTTTCTGCCATTCAAAGTTCAAAGCCTCCCCCTACAACTCACCCCTACCTATCTCCTAAGCCGGCGTAATCTTATACACCCCCCCGACCTCCATCACCACCCCCTTTCCCTCATCATACTTCACCCCATCCACCTTAAAACCATTCCCCCCCTGCACCCGCACCCTCACCACCCCATCCACCCTCGCCTCCAACACCCCCTCCACCAACCTCCTCCCCTCCCACGCCAACCTCCTCACCACCACTCCCCCCCTGGCCACCAACCCCTCCACACTCCCCTTCGCCACGCCGCCCGCACCCCCGGGCAACAAATGCACCACCACCCCCCCATCCGCACCCACCTCATGACTCTGCACCCAAATCTCCGCCAACCCCCCCACCACCCCAAAATTCCCATCAATCTGAAACGGCGTTCCCGCCCCATTATCCGAGTTCCACAGATTCGCCAACGCAAACCGCCTCACCAACTCCTGCGCATGCCCCCACGCATCCCGCCCCCTCCCCAGCCGCGCGTACAGCGCCACCGCCCACGCGCGCGACCAGCCCGTGCTGCCCGACCCCGACGCCATGCGGTGGTCGAGCAGGGCGGCGGCGGCGTTGGCGAGGGTGCTGTTGCCTTGTGGGGTGGAA